AAAAAAAAAGGTAAATTTAAAAAATCAAAAAACCCGACTGCTTAATTATACTTCAAATAAAACTGAAAAGAAAAAAACAAGTCCAGTAGTCTATAATTCTGTTAATAAGGAACAAAGCTACTTTAACAGTCGGGACCCATTAGATATTCAAGAATACATAATATTTTTCAACAGTGGGTCCCGACTGTTAAAGTAGCTTTGTTCCTTATTAACAGAATTATAGACTACTGGACTTGTTTTTTTCTTTTCAGTTTTATTTGAAGTATAATTAAGCAGTCGGGTTTTTTGATTTTTTAAATTTACCTTTTTTATTTCACACTTTTTAGTTAGTTAGTATTTTATGACGGTATATACCGTAGTCTTGTTACTTCAGTAAGGGAATTAACATCGCGGGAATTATTAAGTACGTCGGTCTAAATGATTGATTTATTAAGACATATAGAGACTTTACCAGCGATGTCAAGGCTACAGATGGGCCTCAATTTTCGCAAAAATGTGTGAAGTTAAATCAAGTCGTTACATAAATATCTCTAATGTATGTAAATTTTATAGTAAACTAGCACTTACTCAAAAAGTCATCTTTTGTTTATGTTTTTTTTAATAGTTTAGCATAAACTTCATTTACTTTTATTCGTCGACTATTTAAAATTGGCAGTGGCTGCATTGTCATGTCAATGCCGGACGTTAAGATTGTGATATACACAAATGCAGTGTCGGTCCCTAGTCTCATAATTTGATATACCCACATAATTCACAGAAACCCAATATGTAGATGCCAGAAGTTAACTTCAAATGTTTTTAATCACCCTATAATACCAATCAATGACGTTTATGTCGCAGGTTGAAGAAAGCAGTAATTCCCGTTTGTTGTTTTGGACAATGGTGGCAACTGCCTTAGATCACTAAGTTAAATAATTATGCAATCACCAAAGCAAAGTTTATAATATTTGATTAAACTAAAGGCGCATAATAAAATTTTCATAACGTTAGGTAGAGCACCATAGCAATCTCATTTATTATCAATTTATAGTTCAATTTGTAGTTTTCTTTTAAAGCATATAACAGGTCAAAGATTTTGTGATCGACCCTTTTTTATTGGTAGTGTAAAGCTCGAATGAAGAGTACTCCCAGTAGTGCAATCATGGAAATTATTTTCCAATTTTTTTTTTGTTTAAAAAATACCGAATATCGTATCACTGTTAAGCACAAATGCTAAGTAACTTTTACAAATATAATCAAATAAACCTATTACTTACTTTATTTTTAAAATCTTTTTCATCAATTAAATACTTATCTTATCCTAACTATCTATACTAATATTATAAAGAGGCAAGATTTGTATGTTTGTAACAAATAATCTGTCAAACTACTGAACCGGTTTCAAATATTAATTCATCATAAGGTAGCTATATTATTTATTGTTACATTTTTCTTTATTTATATACATTTTGTCCGAGTGACATAGGCTATATTTCATCCCGATAAATAAATTTCGCCCGTACAATGCCCGGGTGGATCACTAGTAAGTATAATATAATATTATAGATGTGAAAGTGAGTTTGTTTGTGGCGCTTCCGTGCCCTAATAGCTAAATCGAATATACTGAATTCCCATATAGAAGTAGATGGGAACTTGGTTCTTAGCTACAACATCGCAATACTTATTGGCGTAGGGTGATGAAAGGGGTGATTTACCTATAAAAATCTACATTATTTACTTTGAATTTTGTAGAATTATTACAAAACCAATATTATCGCGAGCTGATTAATAATATAGGGATTCCAATAAGTATGTACTTACTAGTGAGAAATGGGTTATTTGTCATTATATTAAGTAAACCTTTTTTGTAACATTAAGTAATATCGTTAAAAAAATGAAAAACAGTAAAATTCAGAGTTTTTCATTAAAATTCAATAATCATCAATACCTGTTATGATAATATATTTTTCATCATTTAATAAGAAGGAACTGTATCACAGTTTTATTGTTAGTGCTTCGTATAGGATCAGATACTGCGAATAGCCCATTTTTTTCTTTTACATAGTACACCGCGCTATCACTTTGTCATCGTTGTAACTTTTTAAATATTTGTCGAAATGACATAGTGTAAAAGCAAAGTTTACCGTCTTTAAATATCAAAAGCGATTAAAGTATTTGTTTTGTTAAAAAATGATTAGTTAATACAAAATGTGCATTTTGGAAATAGATATCAAATAATATTTTAGTTTTGATTCACTATTTTAGCGGTAATGACTTACACATTAAAAATAGATATATGGTGTCACGGACTTTTTTTTAGAACTATTTAAGAGATACATTTTCACTCTGCATTACATTCATGTAACTTTTATTGTTTTCGCAGTGCAGGCCAAAATGGCTCGCAGATGGGAGATTTTTTTCCGTCTTATGTGACACTTATTGTTATATATTGGCCAATTCACTCAATAACTATATAAATTATTATATATATGTAATTATCATATATGAGCTATATTACTGTTAAGTTTCATTAAAATCCATTCAGTATTTTTTAGGTAAAAGAGTAACAAAGATCCATACAAATGTAAGATTGAAATTAAAAGCGTAAGTGGTTAATATACAACTTTGAAGCGTTGTAGATCCTAAACAATCATATTAAATGAAAAATAGTGTTAGGAACCTAAATATGATTTTTGATTATCTAGACAGTGATACCCCACTCGACATATTTTGTCAACTTATTTTTTTTACTTCGTCACAATATGGCGCCTAATTTTGGCCATATTGAATTTTGATTACTATCATATCTTTAGTAGCACTCCCATGATTGAGACGAATCGATTGATGTATGAATCATCAAAATCGGTCCAGGCGTTTGGTCTCTAGTGTGCCACAAAGGAACAAACATACATATATAGACTGTTAAACACATAACCCTGTCTGCGCGTCGCGCTTCGCGCTCTTGCATTGCGCAGCCGGGTAAAAATAAGAATACAATAAATCGGTCCAGCCGTGTTTGAGTAATAATTATTCTCACTAACACACGACTCAGTTTTATTTATATGAGATATAATTAAATAGATATACAGTACAAAAATGGCTCTTACGCAAAGTGAACAATAATTTGTACACATGTAAAATGAAGAAATATTTATTATAGTCTTCTCTAAACTTGTAAATCAAATGAATATATCGTGGCGTAATTAGTTTGACCACATCTTATTATGAGATGTTAGTTATCTTTATCGCTACTTTCATTGTTTGATGTTTATTCTGTAATATTTACTGATAGCCAGAGAGAGGCCCAAGCATGAATTCTTACAGCTTCGTAATCGTATCGTATCGTCAAGGTTTTTATGAAACCTAAGCAGCGCCTCTACCGGACGTAAGAACAAAGTGGCTCCTTCTATGCAAAATTTGGCGATGAAGATATGATTAAGAGCCCCTTCATATTTTTTCGTCGTTCAAAAATCGTAATTTTTGAGCGCCTCGTTTACCCCATTAGAAAAGATTTTGACTATTTCCAACAGAAGTAAACAGTAGATTTATTCTTCTTATAGTAAGTTAATGTAGAATATTTGCAAAAACTATTATCCACTGCAGCTAGTTTACGGAAAAAACGACAATATGAACAACTTCAAACGCCTCAATCTCTCAATAATGTTCAATAAATTAAATCAAATTAATTAGTAATACACAGAAATATGTTTTTGTTGTAACATAATTTATTAGAATTTTGATTTTCCATCTCATTATTTATCAAAAAATAATTGTACCTCCGTGAGTTTTCCCTAAAAATAATGCAGGTTTACCTCGTATTTTGATACTGAACTAAATGGAATTACTATCAAAAACTTTCATAACACTAATCTAGCATCATTGAACTACTGAAATATGTATACATTTTTATAATTAGTTCATTAATAATTATTTTATAAGACTCGAAACATCACCCGTAAAATGCAATATATGTATATATGCTAGTGCAAATCTACCTACGCGCCGATCAGTACGGCAGCGGCGCAATTTTGTAAAAGGGCTTTTAAGGGGCTGACAAAATTCGTGCTTGGGCCTCGAAAGAAGAAGTGCGCAGTTCCTTCGCGCTTGGTGCTTCTGCGCGCCGTGCGCATTTGCCCTGCGATCATGGCAGTAGAAACGTAGGGCACAGCGGATTTCCCGCTCGAATTGGATCGCCATCTGCGGAAGTAACCTCCACCTTACAGAAGATCACAGTAAAATAACACTACCTTTTTTTGGTGGTGTTGTGTTTCTGTCGTTGAGTAAGGTTCCAGGGCTCCGTGCATTCGTGGAAGAATCCCTAATCGGGGACCCCGCGGCTTCGCATTAAGCAGTGTAGAAGGTATTCGCAGGACTTTATTATGCCGTAAAGCGCCCGTAAGAGTTGCGGGGTCCTCGGTGGGCAGCCACTGGAGGGTCCGTAAAACTTGAGGGGGCCAGGTGTGAGGTCCGTTCGGTGGTGTGCCTCTTAAAGGCGTCGTCGTCTGTAAACAGCATTTTTTACCTGCGTTACCTGGCTCCACGGGGTAGATGATTGGGCAGGGTTGGCAACGGCGCGAGTGACATTTTTTGTATCGCAAGCGTCTATCTATAGGCTATAGTGGCCGCTGACCATTAAGCGGGTGTTATACTTGTTTGCCACCCTTTTAACATGAAAAGCTACTTTCGCAGTAGCTGGTCATAGGATGGGTGACCAAAGTTTTACTTTCTTGAGCTTCTCCTTGATATGGAAAACATGTTAATGTTCTCGAGTAGCCGTTAGCACAATTCAATCCGCTTTGGGTCCGCATGTAGGTCATAGCCCGTTCTCTCTAGTTTCTAAACAATTGAGCCTTTGATAAATTTTTAGTTACAATTTGAGAGTTTTTGAGAGTCAAAAAATGGCACATTCAATACAATTAGCAGATAGTTAGAAGATGCTTTGATTTATGTTTTTTATCGCTCCCTATCCTGCAAGAGAGACTGCCCAATAAGCTTTTAATATCGGATGTCATTTGTTTCAGTGGAAAACAAAATCGGCATGCCTCCACCGTACGAGCAGGCGATACCGAACCCAGCTCCACCGCCGTCATACTTCGGGAACAACCCACCGCCGCCGCCAGGGCTACATGCACCCCCGACGGCTCCGCGCACCACGGTCATAACGACCCCTCCGACAACAGGCTCGCGTCCCAGCAAACTGGGGCCGGGCCCCACCGGTACCACGTGCGCCACTTGCAACAAGTCCATAGTGACGCGGGTTGATTACGTGCCAAACAATAGAACGCATATCGTGTCGGCCGCTCTTTGTGTTCTAGCTGGGTATGTATTGTTTAACTACAAATTGGTGTCGATTCTTGCAGGGTTCTCTAAACTTAAAACTAAATCTAACATCAATCTCTCCTTTTCATTATATATAGAGAACGACAGGGATACACTGTTATCAAATTAAGTTTAGGTTTAGAGACTGATGCTAGAATTGACACTATTGTAACGTTCCAAGATAAACAAAAGCCACTTTATGTCAAAACGCGGACTAAAGTTAGTCTTGGTTTAAACCTAATGTTGTATATTCTGTCTTCTTACTAGTAAACAAAAGTAACAGCATAAGTTTTATTTAATCCAGGTACTTATAGCTTTAGTCTACGATTTGTAATAAGGCGGATGGAAACCGATTTTTCATACGAATCGCTGCTCATATTTAAGATATTTAGATGATAACTGCTCAATTTTAACTTTACTAAAATTAGTGAAAAAATTACATAAACTCCTTGTGAGGGTAAATTATCAAAAGTGGATTGATCGGCATGAAATAAGAGAAAATAGGCATTTTTAACGACGAATTTCCTAGGAAAAGTTTAAATAAGATGTCAACATTGACAAGAATAAACCGTATTTATACAAGTATTATATTGTAATGGCTTACTAAATATTACCTCATTAAGAATGAACAATTGTCTTTTTTAAGAACGAGGAAAAAGACAAATTTTGAAGGGGAAACGAAATCAGAATAACTTCCTAATTTCCTTAAAAAATCAGGTAGGTATATATACCTATATATCCGGTCTACATATATATATAGACAATATTTAATCATACATAGACATAAAAAATATTTATCGTAATCGTGTACTATCAATCTGAACGTGACCATTTCTTTAATATGCAACTTAAATTCCGTAACAAAACATTCTAAGTATAATTGTCTGATATAATATAATAACAAAAGCAACTAACTATTCATAAATCCATAAAGTGTTCATTTGGGCAGAAATAATTTACCAATTATTTTTAAACCTAAATAATTTAATTCGATTCAAATGTAAAATTAAATTTCAAAGGGTCATTGATCTTAAATGGAATAAACCTTTAAATAAGAACGTGCAGTGCACTAAAGATTGGTATGATATCCTTAAAACTCAATTGTTGATTCAAATGAATGCATTGCTTGTGTACTTATATTATGTTGAGAATCGCGAAGATAGACATACGAGAATGGCTACGATCTATTGTTTTATTTTAAAGAATCAATTTAAAAACGTCATTCTTATCGGAATACAGCAAAGACCTATGGAATTATTTATAATACAAGTATCTGTCTGCTCACATCACGAATAGTCTGCTAATTTATCGTGTGATTACGCAAAAACCCCGGAGAGATTCCGTACAAATTTGTATGTACGCAATATCAACGACCGATCTTTTAATTTTCACAACTTCATGGGACCGTAGACCTGAGTATATGGTATGAATTTCAACTTGATACTTCCACGCGTTCCAAAGATTTAGGGTCTTACAGACGTACAACTAAGTGATCCATCACCAAGGGTTCCGTGTCGTTTTTTCTTTTTAAGGTACACAATACTAAAAATGAATAACTTATCATTTTAATAAAGACAAAGGAAAAATTTGTTACTCCTTTATAAGCACATTTTGTGCACGATGAGATAAATTACAAAGGGCTGATTCAATAACTATACACGTATAAATATACCAACGCTTAACTAAAACCCTTCGAGCTAGAAATCTAACAAACAAAGGCCAACACCACATGCCATTCATAATTATCTAAAGAGACCAAAATAGAAACAGTCGTAAAAAATAAATACATCTGCTCCGCGTGGATTTTTTTTCTAGTAAAATTTTCTTTACATTTATCTATCTAGTAGTTACATGCTGAAAATAACAAATATATCTTATCTTCTTACTTACTAATATAATAAATGCGAAAGATTTTTTTTGATGTTTGATACTTTGTCACGCCAAAATGGCTTAACGGGTTTGCAAGAAAGGACATTGGAAACTTTCCTTTGGAAGTATACCCCACACCGGACAGAGATGAATTCTATCTTATTTTAAAGCTTTAGACTATGTTGACTGTGAGCGCATTTTTGTTACCCACGGGGATATTGAGATATAACGAGAATGATATCTTAGCTCAGCCTATGTTTGTGTGAAGGAACTCGTGAGATAACGTATGTTTTCTGCGCCGCAACACAGAATACAGACAACACAACGGTTTTGTCTTTAAACTTCAACCGCATTCCACTAAAATGAGCAAAATCAAATTATCTGTTAAGCATAGGCTTAAATAATCGGTAATGTAAAATAAAGTTTAAAAACACAGAGTGTGGCGTATTGGGCTCTCGAGAAAAGTGGCTGCAAATTTACGAAAGCAAAAAATAAATAAAAAAGTTGTATTCTCCTACACACCGTGTGATATCCTCATGGATACCCTACAGCCTGTTGCAGGGTTATCTCAGACACTTACTGTTAGATACGGACACTATCAGGGCCGTACAGGCTTCGCTGATACAAAAAAACTATTATCATTATAATATCTATCCTATAACAAAAAAACTATATTCTCTGCATTCCCTTAAGTTACAGATATAAAAATTGCACGAGGATAAAGTAGATAATTGTATCTATCCATTGTAATAGGTTTCGTTGGTGTCCGCTACTATTTCGATTAATAGGGCAAAATGTTTCCAATGTCTTTTGGCTTATAACTATAACCTGGAAAATATAACATATTTGTGAGATTCTCTAAAAACTCTAAAAGAGAACAAAGTCGCGGGCGGAACAAAATAACAAAAATTGTGAAAACAAAAAAGTGGTTAATCGTACTTAAGAGCTTTATGTACGATTAAAGTATTTAGAAGTTTTCGTGTAATTAAAGTTAAACTTCATCAAGCGATGGTAGTAGGCAGGCATTCATGATAATAACAAATACCTAATACCTACCTATTGTTGTAAACAATATACAGACAAACTGTCACATTTGAATCTGGAAAAATCATATAAATGATTAAGTAGGTAAATTAATTTTATTATTCACCAACACTGTCGAGTATTTATGATTGGAAACTATAATATTTAAAGTACCTATGTAGGTACGTACCTTATAATAATGTTTTAACAGGATATGCGACAATCGCCAGTCCAGTTAAAAATGCGAATTACAAATGCACGATTATGTTTTGAAGTGTAAAGCATTTTGAACATATATATACAAAGATTTAACTGGAAGAAAGATCTTACATTTTTTACAATTTATATTTTTTTATTATATTTATATATATTAATATTTAAATTACAAAAGCTTAAAACTAATTATTGTCTAAAAACTTAAAAAGAATTAACTGCTTAAATAATTTAGAACCTACAAAATAAAATCGGTCCACGCATTTGGTCTCTAGTGTGCCACAAAGGAACAAACATACATATATAGTCTGTTAAACACTATACCCTGTCTGCGCGTCGCGCTTCGCGCTCTTGCATTGCGCAGTCGGGTAAAAAATATATATCACCCCCAGCGCCGACGTCAATAATGGTGCCCAATAGGCTGGCAGCATTTCTAAGATCAAACTGTCCCAGTTCGGGCATTCGCCCGGATTGCGAAGGGTGCGGGTTCGAGTCCCGTCTGCTGCCTGGTCCGCGTGGAATTTTTTCTAGTTATATTTTCTTTAGATTTAAACATCAAGCAGTTACATGCTTTAAAAATAATAAAAATTATGTCTAAGTTTTAGTAAAAGTTAGTTAGGTTTTTCTTACGTAATTCATTTTATAAATAGGAAAAAGATAAGTTTATGTCATGTTTTTATTTATTGTTAAGCATTTAACTGCTAGATCTTTTAAATCTAAAGAAAAGTTTAATAGAAAAAAAAAGATTCTTTAGATTTAAAACATCTAGCAGTTAAATGCTTAAAAATAAATAAAAACATAACTAATTTATCTATTTTTTCTTTCAATACTTGAAAAAGTATTCATTTGACATTGTGGGTTACCTACAATGCGAAGAGATGGCGCTGCCTTGCAGCTTAAGGCTAGGAAAATTTCGACGCGGCTAATAGGGCCGTGGTAGCATAATGGTCAGTGCATTCTCCCGGATTGCGAAGGGTGCGGGTTCGAGTCCCATCCGCTGCCTGGTCCGCGTGGATTTTTGAAGTTATACTTCTTTAGACGCGTTATGAAAAAATGATGAGAGTGAAATTTTTAGATGCGCGCGCATCACTGTAACCCAAAAGTAACAGCATGAAGTTGGCCGCGGGCGCGTTATGAAAAAATCATGTGAGTGAAATTTCGAGATGCGCGCGCATCACTATAACACAATAGTAACACCATGAAGTTGGCCGCGGGCGCGTTATGAATGTTAGTGTTTAGACATCTGTTCGAAAGGTACTTTGAACGATCCACGGAGCTCCATAAGATGATCGCGTTGTCAAAAACAATGTTGGCACGCTCGTCGGCTCTGATCACTGTTTTCATATTTATAATATTTATCCTCATGTTTCTAGTTTCTATATAGACACAACGTGTTTTAGTTACTTACAAGTGCTAATTACATATGGACTAATAACATAAATTCAGTAGTGATTTTAATTGAATATTTTTTTTTATTTTATTTATTTTATTTTATTTATTTAATTCAGGTAACAAACAGTCTTATACAAACAATTTTACAATTTATGTTTACAAATAGACCTAAAGTACCATTAATTGATATACAATTATTATATTCAAGCGGCATAAAAGTGACGGATAACTATAAACATTTGATATACATCGCCGCTGCACATGTTAACTATTTAAACAATAATTCACTTATTTTCCTTTTGAAGCTGTAAAGTGATTCACTGAAAATATCTGCTTCATTCAAGTTCTTATTGTAAAAATTACATGTCCGTCTAAAAAAGGTTTCTCTAGCATAGTTGGTATGGCAACTCGAAACATAAAAGGTATCATTTGAACGTGAGGAGAAACGAGGAACTTTGAGTACAATACTCTGCACAAGTTGAGCTGAGTCTATGTGATTGTTTATTATTTTGTACAGAAACATGGCATCCAAATACTGGCGTCTACAGACCAATGACTGCACTTCATGTCTTTTTGCACTCTCTTCATAATCATTATAATAAAATCCGACACGATAATCTAATGATTTTATGAATTTGCGTTGTACACGCTCTATTCTATCCTTGTGCACAGCATACTGAGGACTCCAGACCACGCTACCAAACTCCAATATACTCCGAACGTATGCGTTATAAAGGATCTTAAGAGTACTGCCCCTGGCGAAAGGCTTTCCTAGTCGTAGGATTAGCCCCAACTGCTTAAACGCCTTGGCTACCATACTGTCAATATGCAAATTAAAGTGCAACTTGGAATCCAGAGTTACTCCTAAATCGCGAATAGAATTCGTGCGGATTATACTTTGATCTGAGATTCTGTAATTATACTGGATAGCATTATTTTTACGAGTAAAGGTTATTACATGACACTTATCTAGGTTCAAGAGCAAGTAATTGTTTTTACAAAAACGTTCAAAATTGATCAAATCTTTCTGTAAACTTTCACAATCATCAGAATTTCGCACTATTTTATAAATTTTTGTATCGTCAGCGTACATGAGAAAGTGAGAGCTAGTAAAGCAACGGCTGATATCGTTGACATAAAGACAAAATAAAAATGGTCCCAGGTGGGACCCTTGCGGAATTCCTGAGGGAATATTTAAGAATCTCGATCGGTAACCCTTGAGTGCAACAGCTTGACTACGATTTCTGACATATGACTCAATCCATCTTAGCAGATCGCCATGTATACCGACCCCGAAAAGTTTTTTTATTAATAATGAATGATTAATTTTGTCGAACGCCTTCGAGAAGTCGGTATACACGGCATCCACCTGATATCCAGCATCCATAACATTTAGTACGAAATCAGTGTAAGTAACCAAATTTGTATTGACACTTCGACCTTGGAAAAAACCATGCTGTTCTGCGGTCACGGTATGTTTCAATTGACTCGACAAAAATGAAGTCACTATTTTTTCAAAAATTTTTGCTAGAACACATAGCTTTGAGATTGGCCTATATTGTTTAACATCGTGTTTGTTACCACCCTTCGGAATTGGTGTTATTAACGCTTTCTTCCATATCATCGGGAAACTTCCTTCAGAAAGAGATTTCCTAAAGATGATTGTAAGTGGTAATGACAATTCAGTACAAAGCCTACGAATTAAAATTGGATGAACATTATCACTACCAGCGCCTTTATTAATATCCACTTGTTCAAATAATTTAGCAACTGATTTCTGAGATATAAATACCGAAGATATGTCTACCAACGGTGATGCGTTACTACATGTTGGGTGATCAAGATTGCTAGTGTTACCATGGCATACGAAAACTGAATTAAAATATTCATTAAACATATTTGTGATAGATTCAATATCCGTTGATGTCTCATTATTATAGGTCATGTGTGTAGGGACATTCTGGTCGCCGAACTTTGATTTTATAAAAGACCAGAAGTATCGTGGTGACGTCGCTATCTTATCTTCAGAAAATTCTATAAAGTTTTTATAACATTCTCGTTCAAGTTGTTTTTCTTTGAACCTGATTGTAGAAAAAATTTGATAATCAAGATCACACCGATATTTTTTCCATTTTTTATGAGCTTTTAATTTTTGTCGAATCAATTTTATTAACGATCCGGAATACCAAGGCGGATAATTAGAATGCGGGTTGATTACTTTTTTTGGAATGTATTTATCCATCAACTCATTAAATACTTTGTAAAAGTAAGATACACATTGTTCTGTATTTAAAACGCTGAATTCTTTCACCCAATCAATATTTAATAATGCCTTACTCATTGATTCAAAATCAGCAGCGTGATAAATTAATTTTAACCGTTTACACCCTTTTATGACACCTATTAGTGGCAATGTCAACGAAATTTCAAGGGATTTATGATGGGGATCTTCAGTGATAAGAGGCGAGTCTGAACCAGTAACAGTACAAATACTGCTACTCATTACTAAATCAAGAATACGCCCGTTAGAGTTCGTACAGCTGTTAAATTGTAATAAATTACATAAGTTCATAAATTCCAATAAGCGTGTGGCATTAACATCGTTATTTGTATTCAATTGCAACTTTGAATTATCATCATAATACCAGACCGCATGCGATACGTTAAAGTCACCCAGGATTAGAAAACTATCATTTGGGTTATCTAAGACGAGCTCGGATGTGTTATCATAAAAAGATTGGAGTGCGACCGAGTGATTACTATTGTGCGGAAAGTAACAACAAGCTAAATGTAACTGCATAGTGGTGGTGGAATGCACGGCCGTTGCGCCGGGCGCTTGCATCTGGTTCGGCTCTAAAGCAGTAGCCATCGAGCCGCGGCCATGAGCGTACGGAATACTGAGTGTAAGCCACAGTTCGTCGACGTTGTCACTTGACCGCCACTGGTCCCGGCGCTGTGCGCACAGCTCGCGGCGTACTGCTATAAGTACTCCTCCGCCGCGCGTGCCGCGTCCGTCCTTTTCGTTACGATCTCTTCGATAAACATTATAGTTATTATAAAAATATTCCGCGCTATTAAAACTTTCCGTCAACCAAGTCTCAGTCAAAAATATCAAATCATAGTCACTCAATAGTACATTAGTCAAAAAAGTTTCTGTTTTAGTACGTAGTCCCCGCACGTTCTGATAGTATATATTCAATGATTTAATGTCAGTCATTTTTAAAGTTTATTCTATCCAAATTATCATTAAAATATTTAAATCGGACACTGTAAGAAAATAATACCTTTTTCAGACTTGGAGATGCAAATATGATTGAATAATAAGTTATGTAATTAGATTTGAAGCAAGTAATTCTTGTTAAATAACAATATTTCGTATGTGACATTTTAACGTTTTGGAGAAGTGTACAATATTTAGGACATGGACAGCAGTTTACAATTAATTTGTGTTTACAATTAGTATGGTCTGCATACAATAGGTTAGCAGATGCAAAAATAAGGTGAATTAAAGACATGACAGTGCATTTTTTACTTAATAAACCAGTGACATAAGTGTTTGGGTTAGGTAATAGTCATTTAATTTTAAATAAATCGGATTCATTTGTGATACGAAATATATTGGATTTATCAGTTTTTCGAATAAATATCTTACAGTCTTTTACCCATAGATATGAGTATTTCTTTTCAACCTTAAGCTCGCGCACTCTTTTGAGCAGCAGTTTGTTTGCCGGTGTAAGGTGATCACCAATATATAGGTGAGAAGCCGGTCCTGGTATTCCAATATCAGCCGATGTGATGCCCGTTGATCGACGTGCCCGCGCTGCTGCAATCAGCTGGTCCTTGCGCCTTCGTTGAGTAAACCGCACAATTACTGACGGATGACGAGCTGTTTGTTTACCACGTTCATGGGGCGCATTGGTATCTTGAGGATAGGGACGAACTCGATGAATAGTGTCAACATCGGTATCGGAAAGCTGAAGCCCCAAAACTTGACAAAGGTTGTAAAATAATGAATATAAATTTTCACCACTGGTCGAGGGTATTCCTGAGATTTCAATATTATTTTGTCTGGAAAATTGATCTTGTGCATTATTTTCTAACTTCAATTCTGATATGGTCTCAAGAGCTTTTGTAAGCTCTGTTTGAAGATCTGGTAGACAGGATAACTTCCCCTCGGCGGTTACTAATCTGTCCTCAATACCAGAAAATCGATTTTCCATTTCGTACCATTTGGAGTTCAAATCTTCCACAGATTGTTTAGTACTGCGAATATCCGATTGAATATTATTAAAATCCTTTTTCATGGCGTTGAAGTCCACACGAAGACTTTTGATTTCATTTAGTACCTCAGCCATAGTAGCACCTCCTGTCTCAGAGGGCTGAGCGCGACAAGATATACAGCGCCAGGCTGCTTTTTTCTCCTGTCCCATCTTCCTGTAACTGGCCTCGGAAACTCCTGCACATCCATAGTGGAAACTTCCATCGCACTTACTGCACGACACAGAGTCGGTAACAGTATCCTTACACTTTGCACAAAACATAGCTATTTATGGATTTTATAAAAGCAAGATATTATTCAGGGTTTGTATAGATGATAAAATTAAAATTTTGAGCAAATAATTGCCAAAATCAAATTAATTAACAATTTAACGTCGGTAGCCGCGGAATAGTATCCGTCACTTATAAGCGCGCGCGCCTGAGTGAATTTTGAATATTTATTTAATTTTTCAAATTAAAACTGAACTTAATTGACTGTGTAAACTATCCTTTTCCAGTCCTTTTATTATTTTATTATAATTATTAATTATTTGCATGCAATTAAAAAATATTTTTAATGATACTAAAGAAGTATAACTTCTCACGCGCGTACATAAGTTACACGCATCCATTTTTTTTTCTAGTAAAGTTTTCTTTAAATTTAAAAGTTTACGTCACACTGATACTTGCTTTAGCTATGAATGAGATCACAGAAAGGGCGAAAGTTAAATCTTACCAAAAAAGCAGGAGTGCAACATGATTTTAGGAAGATAATGTCATATAAACTAAGTTTTTCGTTGTACAAATCTTAAATCCTGGTTTGATCTAGAAAATAATTCATAGGTTTTACTACATTTCAGTTGCTGTTGTGGCTGCTTCGTCCCTTACTGCATGAGGTCCTGCAAAACTGCGAATCACTACTGCCCCCAATGTCAAGCGTTCGTCGGGTCTTACATACCCTCTTGATTGCATCCCCGGTCTAACTAGGATCCGATGTAACATCACTGACTATTTAATTATATTTTGATTTAAGTATAAAACTTCTACTTTATTACCACAAAAAAAATATAAACGCGTTCAACGCGAGCATAAGAAAAAAGACATACAAAATTTGTCTAAGGCTGGACGCATAGGTACGGTTTCCCATCAGGAATTCCAATTTGAAGACCTCAAAGCACGTACACGTACGTATACAAAATGTTCGATGATGCGCAAACTTTTATTAATTTGTGAAAATGGAAAAAACCTAACAATCAATTTGGAAACTACTTTCTTTGGTTAGAATCTGAATTCCTGATCCGGAAACAGAACATATGGGCCCGTCCTAAACATGGTTTGAAACCGTGTCTAACTTTTTCTAGTAAGACCGTCAGATTTTTTATATTGTGAGGAATAAGCAATATTGTTACTAGAAAGAGTTCAACTCGGTCCGGGTATCGGTGCTTTCGCCTGGATAGCGAAGATTTTAGGTTAATTTGAGCCTGAGCTGAGTTGAATTATATCTAGTGATAATATGCGAAAAAATATTTTTTTATCTTTAATTATTATTATTATCCTTAACGAATTTAATAAGGGGCGATTCTGTCGAAGTCCTTTCAACTAAATTTATCCGAAGAAAGATATAAATAAAAAGCCACCGTCAGTTTTATGAAGTGCTGATGGTTAATTAATATTATTTTAATTTAATTGGCAAGTTTTTACCGTCTGAAACGTAAAAAGAAGAAAATTAGTTTTAATTTAGATATTTCATACAACAGAATTGAGCTCTTTTTGTAATAATTTTATTTATATAAAGTTAAACCCAAAACTGGCATTGAGTCTTCAAAGTGTTTGTGAGTAAGTACTTATTAAGAACTTGGTGTCTTGGTCTCTCGTTTAGTTATAAGTTAGCTGTAATTCAATCGTGTGATACTTTATTAAATCCTAATACTAAATACTGATGATATATTTTGATGATTTCAGTTTAAGAGTGCCAAAAACGAGCGGTGTTATCAAAATATTTTTAGAAGTTATTAATGTTCACGATTAAAATATTATTATCACTGTACCCCTAGCTAGCTTAGCAAGGACTAATATCAAATTGTAATAGTTGAATTCGATCTTATGTCAGATGTCAAGAAGTTTTGTAAGAAAGATTTTTAACCCTGGTTATGTCCGTTGTGGCGCTGTTCAAATCTATACACAACTTTTTGACATTTTATGCGTATTAAGATAGAATTGAAACATTCGAATTCTATATTGGTTTATGTTAAGGTTACCGTTTACAATTTTTCGTCGTAATTCACGACTCAAAACTGGGGCAGCAAATCTTAGGTGTTCGGTATATTTTGTTACATCAAGTTTTCAAAATATAAATATGAATCTCGGTAGACACCTACTTATTTTTTTAATAAATGTATTATATCAAATCCTTATGAAAAATAATAAGCATATAATAACATCAATGTATAGAAAATTATGTGTTTAGAATTATATATTTAGATTTTAATTTTCTTAATTTCATATATTTTTTTTATGATCTATAGTTATGCTTCTTTGTAAATATGATTGTGATTGTAATAAAATTAGGAAAATCCATATGTTGAAACTCAAGGAGTCGGTTATAATCTTGCCTCTTCTATTAAAATTTTAAAACAAAGCATATCAATCAAGATCTGTCTCGATTGCCAAATTAAACGTTTACACTATTACTTTAACAATAATTATTTTACATTGTGTTAATTTAAAGAGAATTTCTGATTCTCCAAAGTGAATAATGAAAATGCGACAGGTAAGTACAGGCAACAGTTAATTAGACAATTACTTTTTCAATCAATTAGTTATTATTTTAGGTTATATAGGTAATGCTCAAAGTCGATTGTAAATTATCAAATAGTGGTTGCGTGACGCACTATTGTCTGTCCTTACCTATTCATAAAACAATTGTTAATGACAAAGGCGGATTCGTTTATAAATACTTATTTAATTAACAAATGAATGGAAAAAACATAATATATAAGAACATTATAACGAGAGTATAATATAGATTACACATTTAAGATATAAAAAAGTGAGAAATATTTCAAATCTTCACTTATCAATTGTAAAATAGAATTTTGTAATTGCTTTGGATTCACACAAAGTATTCCGGCTTTATTAAATAATAAACGGCATGCAAACATCTTTACAAGCAATGTTATAATATATACATACCCCGATTCGAAAAACCTAACGTTATATCTGTTCTTTATGAATCACGAATAATAAATCTTTATGAGTTCAATAACTATTTATGTTTCTGCTTCCTTAAAACCCGCCACCAAATCAAAACTCACTCTGAATCTTTTTCCATTTCTCCAGTGTCAAATGATGAAATTAGGAAAATTATTATGTCCATAAAGTCAAAAGACGTATGATACGACGATGTGAGCAGGGATATGATAATAAATATTCTTGACGTTATCGTTCCCATCATTGTACATATCGTCAATTACTCCTTTTTTACTAGTTCCCTTCCTCTTCCTTGGCGTAAAGGCTACGTTCTTCCTCTTCCTTAAACGTCCACTCCAAGGCGGCTAAATAAAGTGTGGTCTATCAGATGGCTGGCGCTTCGCTGGCTTGCTCGCTGGACTCGCGCTAAGTTTAGTTCACAACGCTAACTTAACATAACCCCCACTGTGAGTTGGTCAATCGTTCATTGTTCTGTAATTCATTTGGTAAGAATTATAATATCCGTCCGTGTTTTATATGCAATTGGGTAGGCTAGGTTAGGTTTGGTTAGGAGAATTACACATTGTCGGTGGGCCAGCAGGTACTCTATACAATCCCGACAAAGTATAAAATAGAAAATAATATTCCATACTTTACCTAGACGCTCCATGCATTTTATACATTGCCTAGATATTGTATAGAATACCTGCATTATACAGATTACCGGTAATATTGACATAAGTTAACACTGTAAACACAATTAGGAGGTGTGTGTAGAAAGGAGATTGCTCAAATTGGCCTAAATGCACAAAAAATATTGACATACACGGTAATTCTTGGCGTAATTTATAATTTAATTTACAGTCATTAGATTTCAACGGACACCTTTGTATAATATATTTACTTTAAAAAAAGGTAAATTTAAAAAATCAAAAAACCCGACTGCTTAATTATACTTCAAATAAAAACTGAAAAGAAAAAAACAAGTCCAGTAGTCTATAATTCTGTTAATAAGGAACAAAGCCACTTTAACAGTCGGGACACACTGTTGAAAAATATTATGTATTCTTAAATATCTAATGGGATTTTTTGATTTTTTAAATTTACCTTTTTTATTTCACACTTTTTAGTTAGTTAGTATTTTAAGACGGTATATACCGTAGTCTTGTTACTTCAGTAAGGGAATTAATATCGCGGGAATTATTAAGTACCTTGCGTCGGTCTAAAAGATTGATTTATTAAGACATATAGAGACTTTACCAGCGAGGTCAAGGCTACAGATGGGCCTCAATTTTCGCAAAAATGTGTGAAGTTAAATCAAGTCGTTACATACAACTAGAACTTACTAAAAAGTCATCTTTTGTTTATGTTTTTTTTAATAGTTTAGCAGTAAATATAAAATTCATTTACTTTTATTGGTCGACTATTTAAAATTGGCAGTGGCTGCATTGTCATGTCAATACCGGACGTCTGAGATTGTGATATACACAAATGCAGTGTCAGTCCCTAGTCTCATAATTTGATATACCTACATAATTCACAGAAACCCAATATGTAGATGCCAGAAGTTAACTTCAAATGTTTTTAATCATCCTGTATACAATACCAATCAATGACGTTTATGTCGCAGGTTGAAGAAAGCAGTAATTCCCGTTTGTTGTTTTGGAAAATGGTGGCAACTGCCTTAGATCACTAAATAAATAATTATGCAATCAGCAAAGCAAAGTTTATAATATTTGATTAAACTAAAGGCGCATAATAAAATTTTCATAACGTTAGGTAGAGCACCATAGCAATCTCATTTATTATCAATTTATAGTTCTCTTTGTAGTTTTCTTTCAAAGCGTTCACATATAACAGGTCAAAGACTTTGTGTTCGACCCTTTTTTATTGGTAGTGTAAAGCTCGAATTAAGTGTACTCCCAGTAGTGCAATCATGGCAATTATTTTCCAATTATTTTTTTATTATAAAAATACCGAATAACGTATCACTGTTAAGTACAAATGCTAAGTAACTTTTACAAATATAATCAAATAAACCGATTACTTACTTTATTTTTAAATCTTTTTCATCAATTAAATACTTATCTTATCCTAACTATCTATACTAATATTATAAAGAGGCAAGATTTGTATGTTTGTAACAAATAATCTGTCAAACTACTGAACCGGTTTCAAATATTAATTCATCATAAAGTTAGCTACATTATTTATTATTACGTTTTTCTTTATTTAAATACATTTTGTCCGAGTGACATAGGCTATATTTTTCCCGATAAATAAATTTCGCCCGTACAATGCCCGGGTGGATCACTAGTAAGTATAATATAATATTATAGATGTGAAAGTGAGTTTGTTTGTTGCGCTTCCGTGCCCTAATAGCTAAATCGAATATAATGAATTTCCATATAGAAGTAGATGGGAATTTGGTTCTTAGCTACAACATCGCAATACTTATAGGCGTAGGGTGATGAAAGGGGTGATTTACCAATAAAAATCTACATTATTTACTTTGAATTTTGCAGAATTATTACAAAACCAATATTATCGCGAGCTGATTAATAAATACAGGGATTCCAATAAGTATGTACTTACTAGCGAAAATGGGTTATTTGTCATTATATCAAGTAAACCTTTTTTGTAACATTAAGTAATATCGTTAAAAAAATGAAAAAGTAAAATTCTGAGTTTTTCATTAAAATTCAATAATCATAAATACCAATTATGATAATATATTTTTCATCATTTAATAAGAAGGAACTGTATCACAGTTTTATTGTTAGTGCTTCGTATAGGATTAGATACTGCGAATAGCCCATTTTTTTTCTTTTACATAGTACACCGCGCTATCACTTTGTCATCGTTGTAACTTTTTAAATATTTGTCGAAATGACATAGTGTAAATAGCAAAAGCGATAAAAGTATTTGTTTCGATAAAAAATGATTTGTTAATACAAAATGTGCATTTTGGAAATAGATATCAAATAATATTTTAGTTTTGATTCACTATTTTAGCGGTAATGACTTACACATTAAAAATAGATATATGGTGTCACGAACTTTTTTTTAGAACTATTTAAGAGATACATTTTCACTCTACATTACATTCATGTAACTTTTATTGTTTTTGCAGTGCAGGCCAAAATGGCTCGCAGATGGGAGATTTTTTTCCGTCTTATGTGACACTTATTGTTTTATATTGGCCAATTCACTAAATAACTACATAAATTATTATATATATGTAATTATCATATATGAGCTATATTACTGTTAAGTTTCATTAAAATCCATTCAGTATTTTTTAGGTGAAAGAGTAACAAAGATCCATACAAACGTAAGATTGAAATTAAAAGCGTAAGTGGTTAATATACAACTTTAAAGCGTTGTAGATCCTAAACAATCATATAAAATGAAAAATGGTGTTAGGAACCTAAATATGATTTTTGATTATCTAGACAGTGATACCCCAAGCGACATATTTTGTCTACTTATTTTTTTTACTTCGTCACGATATGGCGCCTCATTTTGCCCATATTGAATTTTGATTACTATCATATCTTTAGTAGCACTCCCATGATTGAGACGAATCGATTTATGTATGAATCATCAAAATCGGTCCAGGCGTTTGGTCTCTAGTGTGCCACAAAGGAACAAACATACAAATATAGACTGTTAAACACATAACCCCGTCTGCGCGTCGCGCTTCGCGCTCTTGCATTGCGCAGCCGGGTAAAAAGGACTTTTAATTTTACCGGTTTGGAAAACATACCAATCATTTTTAATGGCTATGGGTGTAGTAACATTCAGCCAAAGACTGATCGAAGTTGTTTATATAACATAAAAACAAATCTATTTTGTAAATATCGATAAAATAAATCATTTTTTTTATTACACTGTGGTATTAATATCCACAACTATATTATCATTTTCACTAGATACAAATGTGCTCAGACAATTATTATAGATGGTAGGCGACATCATAGTCTATTGCCATACATTTTTCGCCAAACACCTCCATAACCACATTATAATCTGTATATATATTAGACTTTAAGGTCTATCTATGGGCCTACGTTCCATGACTATAAATTAATAAATAAATAAAATTATAAGGTGTGATACACTAAAAATCTAAAATATGGTTATCTTAAAAACATAAAAAAAAATGAAGCTACTGAATATATGGCTATCGAACCTAAATCTCTTAGCTTTCTTTGGTTAACGAGAGTTTAAAAATTCTCTCTAATCTGTGGCTCATCCACAATCATCACACAGTTTCTGTCACAGAGTACCTTATTATAACCGGAAATGACACCTGATTTTAAAAGTTACTCTTATGCATTAACTTTAAAAACAGGCAACTATCTGTTAATCTACATGCTCTATATACCTGAATCTAATCCATAATTTCGGTACTTGGCTTGATTTCCCTAGTTTACTATATAACTTATTTGTTTTTTATTATTTTAATAAGTTCAGTGAATATGGTTTATAGAAGTTCTCAGGGGTGTCCGTCAATAATATTCGTTTCTACAGTAATCACTACATAGTATAAAACAAAGTCGCTTTCTCTGTCCCTATGTCCCTATGTCCCTTTGTATGCTTAAATCTTTGAAACTACGCAACGGATTTTGATGCGGTTTTTTTTAATAGATAGAGTGATTCAAGAGGAAGGTTTATATGTATAATACATGCATAATATACTAGAGAAACACTGATAATTTTAGAGGTTTTTAATATAAGGTCGTAAATAAACACTTTTTTGCGCTTACATTGCAAACGCTGGCTGAACTCAACGAGATAGATCAAAATAATGTACTACAGTATTGTACACCTTAAAAAGGTCTACAAAAAAGTCCGCGATGTTATATGTCTATCTCTTAGAGATAACCCACAATAACCATTTTTTAATTACTTATTACGAGAAAATAATGGCTTATTTACGAACAAGCGATTTTAAGCAATACAGCATTAATCCTTATCCAATTAAGTACCTTAAATACATTGTGCGTGTAATATAGATCAATATAACCCTCTACAGCATGTAATTTAAATGAATATTTTCGAAGATATTACAGATTTAAAATGCAGGAACATACCGGTTCGGGCAGTACTGGCCGGGGGGCCGGCGGCGGCGCGTGTCTTTAGTAATTAGGTATTTAAAGAAAGTCATTGTGTTTAATAGAAACCTGAGAACAAAAATATAATCTAAACTACAGCTCTACACCGAAGCGAAGCGAGGGCGGGCCACTAGTTTATTTATAATTTCGAATCTAGGAAACAATTTTTCATGATTATTGGTCTTTAGGCCAAACATGTATGGAAACTGAGCAATCTCCTTTAACTTAAATTAAAGTTTCGGAACAGTGCAATAAGATTACACAAAACCTGAAGTTTCGTTAAAAATAGCACTCCTAAATACTGCGTCGTGTGAAGTATGGTCAAGTATGGTGTGAAGTAAATTAACATTTTCCACTGTTAATAAAAGAAATGCGTTGACTTATTATGTAAATTGTTGAGGGATATTAATCACAATAAAAGATAAGTACATTTATTTTATTAAATATAAAGTTTTAAATAATATTGAAATTAAAAGAATAATCATTTAAATTACACGTTATATTCTGTATCTTCAATTAGATGTTATTCTTTTAATTTTATTTACTCATTGAACATCGTATCTACCTATTTATGTAATACTTTTATTATCCATAGTAAAAATACTATATTAGGTACTACTAACGAAGGATATTATAAGAGCGTATTTAATTGTGAAGACTTAAGCAGAAAAACTAATATAATTCAAGCTTGAAAAATAGCTTTTCTTCTTTTCGCACATCGCCAATGTACACCCAAAAATCTTCCACAGTTCGAGCAGTAATGTTCAACATCTTTCCATCTCTTCATAAAATATGGAAATAAGCATCCAGCCATCCACCTGAAAAATAACACAATTCAAAAATAACACACAAAAGGAGTTTATGATAAACAGTCTTTATTTTTAGCGCGATAAGATAGTGTTTTGATCGGTATATTGCAGTATGAAGTTGAAGTGTTTATCCGCTTAATGTTCTATTAGATAACCTTAATATCTACATTCTATATACGATTACGATATTTTGGTTTTAATATAAGTCATACATTACAAAATTTTCTAAAAAAAAATTAAAACATATACATCTTAAAGGCTAAAAAAAAGTACTTGGTATTATTTATTTGCAAGATGTTCAACGTAGTATTGACGGAATTCATGATCCATCTATAAGTGCTCAATATATTAATAGAGTTTTTATTTTTCTGCGAAAAAACGTAATCTGTCGTCTGGGGGTGTATAAAGGTCTGCCAGAACATCCTTCTGATTTCAGCTACAAAAACGACTGCATGTCGTCGGAAGCTCGTCAAGACATCACATACATTGTGATTTACCTTCGGCCCTGCGTGCAAGCATTGGTTCAGGGACACCCCAGTCGAGGTCGGCGCTGTCTTAGGAGTGCAGTACAGTGCAAGTGCTTCCTACAGGAGTTATGGGCGGCCGAAGTAACTTGGGATGAGCCTCTCTCCAGTAGCTTGCTACAGGACTGGGTAACGTTTGCCAAATATTCTCCCAGAGTTCAACCAGGTCTATCCCGAGGCACATTCTGGCTTACCGAGTACTTCCGAGAGTGGATTCGCGGAAGCCGTGTACATAAGAACGGTGGATGCAGCTGGAGTGGTCTCCATCCATCTGATTACGGCCAAGAGTAAGGTAATCGCCCCCTTTTGGACCCGACTGACGATTTCCAAGCTTGAGTTATGTAGCACCACTCTATTAGTTGACTGCCACGCTGTCGACACTTTAGGACGTAGTGTCGACTATCAGTCGATCTTTGCGTGGTCTTACAGCCAGGTTGTTTTTTGTTGGCTGAAGAGTTCAATCTAACCCCTGGAAGTTCTCGTGGCCAACCGGATCTTTCAAGTGCAGAGTACGAAGGCCCTGTTGATTTGGCACCACGTACCAGGTGAATTGAACCCCGCAGACTGTGCATCCCGCGGCTGCGAGGCGCACACTTGTGAATCATCTATGGTGGGGAAGTATGTTGACTTCATGTGGGAGTATGAGGAACTGGGGCACATATCGGTCTCGCGGTTTGACTGGAGAAATGAGGAACATTACTTCTTCCCTCATCATGCTGTGTTGAATTTTTCCAACGGGAAGATACGCATTGTCTTTGTTGGCCTCCACCATGATAACTGTTGTCTGAGGTCTGCCGCACGCCTGCAGTGCCAAGGGCGCCGATGTTAGACGTACATATCCACGCCACCGAAAGAGAGTTTTTGCTTGAACGCTACAGTTCTCTGGACAAATTTCTCGGCGTCACTGCATCTTGCGTCATCCTCAGGACAAAAATTTGTCTCCGGTCCTCTCTCCACACGAGCGTATTGACGCTCTGACTTATTGGGTGCTAATATTGCAAGCGAGAGCCTTTGAACCGGAATTCAAAGTACCTCGACTCCTCACCTCTCAGTTAAACCATAATCAAAATCATTTATTCAGTTTAGTCTGTTACAAGAACTCATAAATGTCTAGAAGCTACGCCATGGGTTCGTAAATCTACGGCGGGAGACCTTTTACTGAGAAGAACCGGCACGAAACTCAGCAAGGGCTGTTTTTTCTTCCTGTTTTATTATTCACAGAGTCGTCAAGTTGTAAAATGACTTCACAGATGATTCATGAAGTCACCTTTTATTACATAATGGTTAAATATACATTAATTGTTTACCTGCATTTTGATTGCTGTGTCATACAGTATAAATACAAATAGTGTTATTTATATTAGGTTTACTAAACATTAAAGTCTTCAATATCAAGGAAGTTAGGGCAGACTCATCTCCGCTGGCAGCACCCGTGCACGAGCAAGGCGCATGAACCATTAAAACTACCGTTCGAACAATAACCACAAAATGACAAATAGAACAATTTCTCTTTACAAAAGACAAAACATGACCTGCTTAGCAAAATTAACCTTCAAGTAAGCCAGCCTGCACAATGATTTTACACAAAATTCTTCAAACTTCATCTGACACTTGATAGTTCAAGTGTCATTCACATGCATCCGAATTTAACTGCAAAAAATCTAATCTAATTATGTAAATTGTTGCTAAGTAGATAAAAAAAGTTAATCCCAGTTTTTATTCATCATTAATTAATAAGGTTGTAACTGTTTTAAATATAAGAAAATATTACATCGAGCTCATGCTATTAACAATTCATAAAACTTACCAAGGTGAACCAAGGCAAAACAACACCGGAAAACAACAATTTTAGTTATATCTATGAAAATCGATCTACGAGACTATCTAATCAATGAATGAGTAATGACTTACCACAAAAATATTCCCATGATTAAGGCAATCGCGTGTGTGCACATAGTGATTTTGTACTCGACACGGCTCATGACGTCTTCTTGGCAGTGTGGGCACCGCACACCGACCGGCTCAGAGCCAACTTGAAGTAGGTCTAACTCAATCTCGTCTCGACTCCTCTCAATCTGATGATACATGTGCTGGGTGTCCACTGAAACCCAAGTCACTACCATTCAATATATATCATAACAAACGGTTTAGTTCCTTACATCAATGACATTAATGCATATTAAATTATTTTTATTTTAAAACACTTAAACGATTAGATGTTCAAATCTGAAGATTTTTTACCCATATCCGGGCGGATGTACTAAAGTTACTAAACAATTACGACCTAAATTGGTTAGTGCATTCGCCCAGACAGCGGAGGGTGCGAGTTCGAGTCCCGTCTACTGCCTGGACCGCAAGACATTCTCTGCATATTATCATGTTGATATTATCATCTTTCTAAAGAGCCCTTGCTGAGTTTCTTGTCGGTTCTCGGTACCTACAGTATAATACCTACAATATTTAGTTTAGTAGTTTTGCGAACCGATGGCATAGCGATTGACGTTCACAAAAATTTGTCACAGCCTGTTGCTAAACTGCCATTTCAAAGAGCGTGCTTAAGAATCGCTTATTTTGATTACCCTCTCATCATTTCAAGGAACAAGCAGTTTAGAACGCCGATAAAGTACACAGACAATGAGCAAACTAACCGATTTACTTATTTCTGGGATATTTTTATATAATCCGGGAAAGCTGAAACACCAAGCGCGGTCCAAAGGGGTCACAAAAATGTTCTGTCCCTAGCCACGATTCATTCATTTGAGTTTGCGACGATCTATAAACAACTACTTAAAAGGACTATGCTGGAAAATCGGAGATTTGGTGACCCCCACCAAAATTTGAGGCTGCCATTGCGCCTGTGAAACACCTATCACGAAAAGATGGATTGCATCGCGTTCTAAAGAAGGGTGATGTCAAAAACTGTTAAACTTCTTTGACTTTTAACACCTAAAACCTAGCATGCTGTCGATGTCGCCTATGCATTATACATAGGTACTAGTAGGTGCCCTCTACGTGGAAAAATTGGTTTGCCATACAAAATCCCCCCCCCCCCCCCCTTCATCCTCTTAAAGTCTGTTTTCGGGGATTAAAACCATCCTATGTCCCGGATCTTAAACCTCTGTACCAATTTTCATCTAAATCGGCTCTGCGATTTAGGCGACCAGACACTTTCGCATTTATAATATTACCTACTACGGATATTTGAAATTTTCTGCATATTTCAATGTGTCAGGCTTTGCAACTCTGCAAGTAAAAACTGGGGTAGGTACAGTAGTATTATTCTATAAGATCAAACTCATCTATCGCCTCGGAATCCGCGGTGTAACTTAAAATTACAACACGAATTTACAGAAATTTCAAATTACCCCAGCGAATTCCGCGGTGAAAAGTGCATTTGTTGATACAGAATAGCACTGCAGCAGTGCAATTGTATGTACAAGCGAGTATCAATTTAATGAATTGCTTGCAGGACTTGAATTTCAATTATTTTATTAGTCTACAACTCTTAGGGGGTTAAACGTACCTAAGCATTGCAAAATAAACGGATAACTTTCATTTCGTTCCACATAAATGTTTAATCTTAGTACACGCAAACAAATAATGGTTTATAGTATTATTTACAACTTAATTAGATTTTCTTGAATCGTTGCATAGAGAATCGTGACTTTCATTAACTTAATTTGCATAGTACCTTGATAAGGATATTATATTTTGTCTTTACAATTATATTTGAACCTTTGAAGGAAATAAGAATGCATATAAGAAAAACACAGATTACGCTAAGTAGGTACCTAACTACCTACTCATGTGCTAACTTTCCTGTTCAAATAGGTTTCCTAAGTCTATCAAGCTATTGCTAATTAGACTAATTAACTAAGAAGAAATGGATATACTAACGGCATCGGCACGAGCTAAGGAGCTATGCAAATGTTAGTAGTTAATTGAAATAAAATTAAGTATACATTATTTATTCAAATTGACCTAATAAAAGCTTTTTTAAATACTTTAATGTTTTTTTTCTACTAATTAAACAGATACTAAGCTAAATCTGACGACCTCCGTGGTCGAGTGGTTTATACGCCGGGTTTCATGGTGTCGCCGACTCGAGAGGTCCCGGGTTCGAATCCCGATGGGGGCAGATGTTTGTGTGATAAATACGATCATTGTACTCCAGTCATGGATGTTTAATATTTATTTCTACATAAATATATATGTACAATATATGTATTCTCTCCGTTACCTTAGTATCCCATAACACAAGCCTTACAGTGCTTACTTTGGGGCTAGGCTAATTGGTGTGAGGGTTGGAAATATTTATTTATTTATTTATCTTATTTAATTATCAAATTATACATATTTTATATTTTTAACTGTTTAAAATCGGTTTGAAATTAAATCCAAAACAGGGACTGATACAAATTAACTTTTTCGGTGACATTCAAACCGGTTGACGTTTAAGCGTAAAATTTAGATACTTTATGATGAGGAGTATCCAAATCACCCCCATGTATGTTCTACCATTTTGCGTAGTTTTTCGAGTTATAATTTTTTTAATGATTTTTTTCGTAATTACCACCTAACATCCGTTTTCGATTTTTTTCTCATTCTGTTGGACGTTTCTGGTTCAGTTTTTTTGTAGTAACTGACTAACATAGTCTAACCTAGCACCCTAAAACTTATGGTTTATCTAGGCATTGCAGAATTTACTTAGAATTTATTCGAAAGTTCAAAATTACGATTTGAGCTCAGTACACACAAATTTTCAAAGAATCAAAAAAAAATGTAAATGGGCATTTTGAATTCAAAGTGCTTTTAGAAACTTCCTGAAACATTAAACTTTCAAACAAGGCCAAATAAAGAAACGGTTAATGGGGGTTTATTTTCTGTAACTTACCTTCAAAGTAAATTAAGGCATTTTCAAAGGAATTATTTTATTTTATTTAAATCTTTGACTTTCTATGAGATATGATGGATATGAGTAAAACGCAGTTAATTGTGAACAAAATACATTAATTTAAAGCAAATTTTCAAAATTTTGCCCTCCCACAGAAATACACAATCTACATCTGCGCAAAAAATTATGTTTTAGGTGCCTAAAAGCTTCACGGTTATTTTTGACAGTGGTTTCAGCTTCGCGAATTTTTGCTCTCAGTTCTTCTTCACTCGAAGCTTCTCTGGCGAACGCAATTTCTTTAAAGTAGCCCCACATAAAAATATCAATAGGGTTGAGGTCAGGCGAGCGTGGGGCCAGGCAATTGGCCCTTGTCGTCCGATCCACCTGTTGGGGTAGGTCACCAGACCTTAGACCACTAAATGGTGACGCACTTGTGTCGCATAATGACATGGCGCCCCGTCGTTCTGGAATACCATCGTTCTTCTTTATTCAAGATTTACATCTTCCAGTAATATTTCTTAAAAACTTTTGTATGTGTCGCCGTCTAATCTCGATGGCAGTTCAAATGCGCCTATTCAAAACACCAGACCACATGTCAACGCTAAGACGATGTTATAATGATGATGGTCTGGCGGCATGTGGATTTTCAACGGCCCAAATGTGAAAATTGTGGATATTGAAAATCCCAGTTCGCTCAAATCTTGACTTGTCGGTCCACAAGATTTTATTAAAGTATCCGGGATCTTCTTCCTCTTTCTGCAACATAGTTCTACAGAACTCGACTCTCAATTGATAATCTGAAGGCTGCAACGCTTGTACTTTTTGTATGTGGTAGGCGTGAAATGATTCCTCACGCAAAATATCCTGTATTGAAGATCTTGGTAAGTCAAGGTTATGAGCAAATGCTCTCGTACTTGTACTACTATTGCGTTGCACTTCTTCCAGCCCTCAACCCTCTGAATGCCTTCACCGCCACGGTGGCCAGGAATGCGGCCTGCCGTTAACGTATTGTGAGTATTCATGTACACATGATAGTCAGGGTAATGATCAGGTAGCGCTCCGCCTCGGCGTTGAAGTTGATCCCCGTAGAAATAATACATTTCTGCATATTCACTCAGAGTGTAGGGCATCACCAACACTTCCAAGTAACTACAGTCCAAATCGTTAGGTACTACGGAATCCAGTAACAAGCAGGGGTCAAACAAGTAAGCAGCGGCGGTATCAGTAGGCAAATAGTGGTCGAGAAAAAACGGCAGAACAAGACGAGTAAGTAAGTAGTAGTAGAATTTAGGTCATTAACAACTGTGTTTTACTCAAAGCCATCATAACTGAGAGATAGGCAAAGATTTAAGTAAAAGAAAATAATTATTTTTTTTCCTTGAATAATGCCTTAATTTACTTTGAAGGTCAGTTACAGAAAAAAAATGGGGGCATTACAAACCCTATCTTTATTTGGCCTTGTTTGAAAGTTTAATGTTTCAGGAAGTTTCTAAAAGCACTTTGAATTCAAAATGCCCATTTACATTTTTTTTTGATTCTTTGAAAATTTGTGTGTACTGAGCTCAAATCGTAATTTTGAACTTTCGAATAAATTCTAAGTAAATTCTGCAATGCCTAGATAAACCATAAGTTTTAGGGTGCTAGGTTAGACTATGTTAATTAGTTATCACAAAAAAACTGAACCAGAACGTCCAACAGAATGAGAAAAAAATCGAAAACGGATGTTAGGTGGTAATTACGAAAAAAATCATTAAATAATTATAACTCGAAAACTACGCAAAATCGTAGAACATACATGGGGGTGATTTGGATACTCCTCATCATAAAGTATCTAAATTTTACGCTTGAACGTCAACTCCCCGGCCACCCTGTATTTGTGTATTTTTGCGGTTTTGGATCTAATTTCAAACATGGATATGGATGGGATGGGAGAGCGGGCCATGAGTTCAAGACCAACGGCTTAACGTGTCTTCCGAAGCACGGAGGAGCTCGAGATCATAAGTTTTTGGTCACCCATCCAATGACCGGTCATTGTGAAAGTTTTTTAGCTTCCACAATCGCAAGCCGAATGCGCTAACCACCTGTCCCTCAAGCACCTCACCACCACTATGTAGAGTATAGTGGTGGTGAGGTTTCACATAGGAATAAGTTACAAAACTTCATACTGTTGTTAAATCAATACCTAATTGTAGCATATACTCGTACTTTTTAGTACAAAACACTAAAGATAAGAACCGACTATTATCACGATTCCACATATAATAGGTAAATAGGCAAATTATTGCTGCATAACATTTACTCACTTTTATTCTTTAGCATCCACTGATTTGTGAAGTAAAACAAATAATCCAAGTCCCAAATGCAAATAAATATCTTGTAAACACTTGATTATGTTATGTAAACTTTCTCAGACTAGTATGAGCGCGTGTCCACGAGTTTCCATGCTACAACTGAACTACGTAGCTATTTTATTACTGAAATGCCGATACCTATTACGATACACTTATCGAATAGATAATATTTAGCGAGGTAGTTCTGCCACTGATAATAAATCAATACAATGTTGATAGTACTAGCAGGGGGATGCATGCGTGCTATATAATATTTATACGTTACTAAATCACATTAAATTATAAAGGCGAAAGTTTCTGAGTGTGTATGTTTGTTATTTCTTCACGTCTAAACGGCTGGAGCGATTTTAATAAAATTTGGTATGGAGTTAGCTGACACCCTGGATTAACGCATAGGCTAAGTTTTACTGGGGGAAAATATCGCTAATAAACCGCGGGGCACAACTAGTGCATACTGTGCATAATATAATTAATTAATTTGCAAGTCTCTTACACAAGATGAAACAAACGGATAGTAAAAACCCGACTCACCTATTGTTTTTAAAATTGTTTATGACAAAAATGAGCAGTGTTTCGATTACAATACAAGTTTACCATCCTGGTTTGCTTCATGTATTATTAATGTCAAAATGTGACCTATACTATATACAGGGGCGTATTCACCCTAGGGCCAACGGCTAAGAGCGTCCATGAGGCAGGCTATGAAGGGCAGCTAAAGCCATATTCCTTACTGACACATATTTTGATTTGATTTACTAATGCAAGGGGGTGGGGTTCTTAATCGTAAATAATAGGTAACTTTTATCTATTAATGATCAGGGCACGACACCACATCATTTTTTTTTTCATAAACACATTTATTTATGAAAAAAAAATGATGTGGTGTCGTGGGACACCAGGTAGGAACTAAGTTCCTCCGGCTAATGTAGAATCGACACAAATTGCAAACTCGCTTGTGTATGCGACTGTCGCGCCTGCGCACGTCTTATTTAACGGTTTTATTCCACGCACTTTTTTCCACGGATTTTTTCTTACGGTTTTACTAACACATTTTTTTCAGTTCGTTCAGCTAGTGTTCGTAAAGATTGCTAGGCAGGACTGGCAAACAGTTTATAATAAACTACAATGTCACAATAATCCAGTAATGCAGCCCCGTCGCTCTGCCACCCCCCTGGACTTAACCACAGTTTAGTATAATATACGACAATAATCCAGTGTTGGTATAATGCCACAATAATTTGGGGTTGCACCCCCGTCGCTCTGTCACCCCCTGTTAAGTTCTGACCTTGTTATCATGTCTAGCTTAAGTTTACAGCAGATGACAGGCGTTCCTAGTCCACAGCTCGGTATAACGTCACAAATATCCAGATTTCGTGTAATGTCACAATATTGTGCTGCACCCTCGTAGCTGTGCCACCCCCTACATACGCACCTTATTATCATGTCCCGCTAGCGTTCGTAAAGGATGCTAGGCAGGAGTGGCCCACAGTTTAGAATAAACTACAATGTCACAATAATCCAGTGATGCACCCCCGTCGCTCTGCCACCTCCTGATAATAATCATAATCAAAATCATTTATTCAGTTTAGGCTGTTACAAGCACATATGAATGTCTAGAAGCTACGCCATTGGTTCGTAAATCTACGGCGGGAGATCTTGTACTGAGAAGAACCGGCAAGAAACTCAGCAAGGGCTGTTTTTTTCTCCCTGTTTTATCATTTACAGAGTCGTCAAGTTGAAAAATGACTTCAGAGATGATTCACGAAGTCACCCTTCATTACATAATGTGAAATTATACATTAATTGTTCACCTGCATTTTGATTGCTG